CGGGCCTCTCCCGTTGCGGAGCACAGGCTCTGGACGCACAGGCTCAGCGGCCATGGCTCACGGGCCCAGCCTCTCCGCGGCATGTGGGATCTTCCCGGACCGGGGCACGAACCCGTGTCCCCTGCATCGGCAGGCGGACTCTCAACTACTGTGCCACCAGGGAAGCCCAAGTCTACGTGATTTTGATTTGTGCAGCTTCACAGTAAAAATTAGTCTCACTTTCAAAATTACAGGTAATTTTTCAAGAAAAAAAAAATCCGACTGAATTTAAACGGGAATTGCAGTAACCTTGTAGATTACTTTGGACATAAGTAATCTCTCTGTAACACCAAATCTCCCCTTTGAGGGACAAGGCGCTTCTCCACTATCCAGGTCATCCTCACTTGCCCCAGTGAATGCTGACTCGTCAATGGCTATCCCCAGGCCTCCGCGGGCTATGGTGCAGCTTCCTTGCTAGCTCCAAGTTGGCAGGGTATCTATCCACTGTTATGCTCAATCGTTTTTTGGTAGAACAGGTCTTCTCACATACTACATTACCATCCTTACAGAGCAACTTACAACTGACTAATAGTAATACTATCAAACTTAAAAATTATTGGGACTTCCCTGGTGGCACAGTGGTTAAGAATCTGTCAGCCAATGCAGGGGACACGGGTTTGGGCCCTGGTCCGGAAGATCCCACATGCCACGGAGCAACTAAGCCCGTGTGCCACAACTACTGACCCTGTGCTCTAGAGCCTACAACCCACAACTACTGAGCCTGCGTGCCAAGAGCCTGTGCTCCGCAACAAGAGAAGCCACTGCAATGAGAAGCCTGTGTACTGCAACAAAGAGTAGTCCCTGCTCGCTGCATCTAGAGATATAGCTTGAGCGCAGCAACAAAGACCCAACACAGCCAATAAATAAATAAATGAAATTTATTGTTATTATAAAAAAAAAAACAAAGCATATTTCTCCACATGTTTAAGTCTCTTCACGTCCTTCAATAAGTTTTATAGTTTTCTTCATACTTCTTGTTAAAGTTCATTTCCTGGGTATTTCACGATTTATATAGCTACTGTGAATGGCATTCTGTATATTTATTTTGTATCTAGCTATCTTTCACTGCTTCTGATGCCTTTTCAGTTGATTATTTTGTCTTTTCTCAGGTTTAAAACAGTAGGTTTGCCTTTTTTTCCCCCTTTATTTGGGGGGGGGCTGTGCTAGGTCTTCGTTGCTGCGCGCGGGCTTTCTCTAGCTGTGGTGAGCGGGGGCTACTCTTCGTTGCAGTGTGCGGGCTTCTCATTGCAGTGGTTTTTCTTGTTGTGGAGCATGGGCTCTAGGCGCGTGGGCTTCAGCAGTTGCAGTGTGTGGGCTCAGCAGCTGCGGCTCATGGGCTCTAGAGTGCAGGCTCAGTAGTTGTGGCACGTGGGCTTAGCTGCTCCGTGGCATGTGGGATCTTCCCAGACCAGGGATAGAACCTGTGTCTCCTGCACTGGCAGGCGGATTCTTAACCACTGCACCACCAGGGAAGTCCTGCTTTTCTTCTTTACATATAAAAGTGCTTAGGGGCTTCCCTGGTGGCACAGTGGTTGGAAGTCCGCCTGCCGATGCAGGGGACACGGGTTCGTGCCCCGGTCTGGGAAGATCCCACATGCCGCGGAGCGGCTAGGCCCGTGAGCCATGGCCGCTGAGCCTGTGCGTCCAGAGCTCCGCAACGGGAGAGGCCGCAGCAGTGAGAGGCCCATGTACCGCAAAAAAAAAAAAAAAGAAGTGCTTAGAACTTTTTATTGGACACACAGTGGGTGTCCAATAAGCATTAGTGATCATCTTCTCCAATACCTATATTTTTCATCTTATTCTCTCAGCTAACTGCATTGAATAGCACAAATAATGTTGACAGTCTTATATATGACTTTTGGGGAATGCTTCTATGTATTTCACTATTAAATACATGCTAATGACTGTTTTGAAACATGGGGCTTATAAAACATATTAAGTATCCTTCTAATACTACTGTTAAAGCTTAAATCAAGAACGGATACAGTCATCCCTAGATATCCACAGGGGGTTGGTTCCAGGACCTCCATGGACACCAAAACCAGTGTTGCTCAAGTCCCTTATATAAAATGGTGTAGTATTTGCACATAACCTATGCACATCCTCCCGTATACTTTAAATAATCTCTAGATTACTTATAACACCCAATACAATGTAAATGCTATGTAAATAGTTGCTGGTGTATAGCAAATTCAAGTTTTGCTTTTTGGAACTTTCTGGAAATTTTTTTCCATGAATATTTTCAATACATGGTTGGTTGAATCCACAGATTTAGAACCTGCAGATACAGGGGCTGACTGTATTTGTCTTTTTTTTTTTTTGATTTTATTGTTTTGTATTTATTTTTGTTTCACACACACTGTATTTAATTTTACAAGAGATGAACAGACTGACACCAAGCATTGTAAATGGATGACCACAACAAAAGCAACAATGATTCCAATTACCAAACACGAAACACACTCATACTATGTCATAGTATTGACCTTCAGTCCAGGAATCCTCCACTGTAACAGCTCCTTTACTTTGCACTGAAAATTGATTTGTATATTTTTTGCCCCTGAGTCCTTGTGGGATTTTTTTTTTTTATTCCAACAGAGAGTCACAAAAATTATAATCATCCTCATCAGTGTATTTGTCTTTATCATCTAAAGATATCATATGGTAAATTATATTAATAGAGTTCTTAATACTGAACCATCCTTGCACATCTGGAACAATCTCACTTGGTCATGGTTTCTATTTGCTGATATTTTATTTAGAGAATTTTAAACCTATATTCATAAGTGAGATAAATCTGTAGATTTCTTTTTCAGGGTTACCTCTGAGAGGTTTTGGTATCAGCATTATGCTGGCTTTATACAAATATATGTAAAACATTCGTTTACTTTTCTATCCTCGGAAGTATTTCAAATGGCATAGAAAAATTTTATTCCCTAAAGGATTAAAAGAATTTGCTCATAAACTGTTGCAGAATGCTGCTTTCTGAGGAGTAGCTAGCTTTTTAGCTACTTTCTCAGTTTTTGTGTGTAGTTATCTATGCAGTTCCCTATCTTTTCAGGATTCAAAATGTGTTATGTATGTATAAAATCTCTTTTTGTCATATTACGTTATAGATACTTTTTCCCTAC